GCCCAAGTTTCTCTCTACTCAGCACTACTTAGCTCTCATCTGGAATACTGTGTCTAGTTCTGGACACCATAATATAAGAAAGATCAGACAAGCTGGAAAGGGTTCAGAGGAGGGCAACAAGGATGATCCAGGAACTGGAAACACTGCCCTATGAGGAGAAATTGATAGAACTGGGCATGTTTAGCCTTGAGGAGAGAAGAGTGAGAGGAGATGTGATAGCATTCTACAAGTACTGGAAAGGCTGTCACAGAGAGGAAGGACGGGATCTCTTCTTGATCATTCCAGACTGCAAGGCATGGAATAATGAGCTCCAGTTGCAGGAAGCCATATTACAGCTAGATATCAGGAAAAATGCCCTGACTGTTAGTGCAGTATGGCAATGAAACCAATGACCTAGAGAGGTTGTGGGCTCTCCCACACTGGAGGCATTCAAGATGCAAGCGGGCAGCCAGCTGAGAGGGATGGCTCAACTGGGAGTCCTGCACTGAGCAGGAGGTTGGATTGATGACCTTCTGGCCCCTTCTAACTCTACTCATCTATGGTTCCATGAAGAGGTTGTTCAAAGAAGAAACAGAGCAGCAAACTCCAGAAAGACAAAATAGCCCACTGAAATGATGAACAACTGGAGAAGGATGGTCTTTCCATGTGACAGAAGAGATGAAATGGATTTTGCGGTCATGCTGAGAACTATACTGAACACTGCCACAACAGAGATGTTCTCTTTAAAATTCCATTTGAAATATCTGTTGTACTAAGGCAAACACAATAGAAGGAAATGCTTTAAAAAAGAGGCTTTTCCGAAACTTGTGAAATATTTCTACCATGTTTTCTCCAGCTGTTGTGAGGTTTGCTTGATAGCTCTCTTCCAGCTCACATCTGTCATACTTTTGAACCTGTTATAAATTATGACTTGGGTCCAGTAAACTATACAGTCTGATCTGTATGTCCATGGGTGCTTGTGTGTCTTCACCAGAACTCCTTCTGTGTGCCTCTGCAAGGCATGGCAAATCTTGTCTGAAACTAAGGGAATTTTCAAAGGGCCTTGACAGCCGCTGTGGTGCAGAGATTAAGGAGCTGATGTAGAAGCAGGGAGACCCAGTTTCATATCCCCACTGAGCTAGGCTGTTCACTGGGTGACTTTGGTCTAGCCTCTGACTTTCAGACTAACCTACTGCACAGGATTGTTGTTAGGATAAAACAGGGGCAGGGAAAGACCATGGATCCTGCATTGGAGGAAACTTGAGATAGAAATGTGGTAGGAATAATAATAATACCTAATTGCATCATCAATGGAGTGCTACATGTAAAAGAAAAAAAGTAGCAATCCCTTATATATCCAGGAAAGTGTCTGGGTATGTTTAAGGCAGGTTTTTGATCTGGCTAAAGAAACCAGGAGATCTGTGGGACGTTAGTGGTTTAGTCATGAAAAAAATGAGTGTTACGGTAAGTTATATATTTAAATAGACATGTGTCAGAAACTTGCTCTTCAAGTTTAATTTCAAATTGTCTATTTTAAGACTCAGCTACTTTCATTCTGACTGTTTTGTGGGCCAAAGAATTGTATTGCATGGCAATGCTGAACCCCCTTCATCCAGATTCTGGAGTGGACAGATTTGTTGAAGCTTCAAAGCAGAATGGCAAAGATAATCGACCATTCTTTCTGATCTCCAGACATCCACTTCTAAGAATCCCCCCCACCCCAAATTGCAGAGTTGCAGTCTTTTTGTACTTTGTGTGATACCTTCCCATCTTTCAATAGCAGTTTCCGCTGAACTACAGGGACACTGTGGAGCTTTCTCCAGTCTGGCCAGGAACTGTAGGAGCAATAGTCCAGCTTGATCTGAAGGGGTCCTGAATGGGGAAAGCCACAGAAAAACATGTTCTGAGAATGAGCATCAAATAGTTCCTGTAGGCTGGTTCATGCCACCATTTGCCTTGCCTGTTCTGCCATCTCTCCGTTTCTGGTGTGATGTGTGTATGCTTCTTGTTTAATCATGGGAGTATGTATGAAAAGGGCTCCCAGTTACACCAGGACTGACTCAAATGCCACACTTTCCAATGGTGGCATTTCGTAACTTCAGTTTTCAGTCATCAAGTACGCAGTAACTGGGTAAAATGAAATGGAACAGGCTCCAAACATGTGTGAAGGACATTTCAGTGGCTTTTAAACACACAAATGTTCTCTGATGGAAAATGACTCAGAAATAGTGTGGGATGTGTAAGCGCTTTGGGGGGCCCTGGATGGATTTGCTGAGCTCACCTCCAATAACCAGGCAACAGGCCAGAGGAAAGCTTCTGCACAGAGTAGCTGGAACCTTGTGCCATCTGTATCTGGGTTCCCCAGAAAGCTTAGAGGTCTATGTGTTGGCTTTCCCTTCAGCAGAAGTCCACAATATGGTGGATGGAGCTATGGAAAGCCATGTGACCTCAGGTGGGACCTCCGACAAGTCTCCAATAATTGCATGTGGACCTGGCTTGTGAATGGCTCAGGATGGAGCTTTCTTCTCAGATCACTTCCATTACTCCTTCCCTCTCCCCAGTTTTATTTCTTTCTTCCATTTTGAATTTGGTGTGTTCCAATGCTCTCTTTTGCGTACAGGTCACTGTCTCCAAAAACCACGGCTCCTGGTATATATGCTGAAGAAGTTACAGTTTCCAAGATTAAACTGATTTTTTTTGAAGCATGCAGATGAGAACAAGTAAATCGAAACAAGGCCTGGTCTACACAATTCAGTTGGTAAAATACACCAACTTGGCCTAGTGGCTAGCGTTCTAAGATCTAGGAGACCTGAGTTCAAACCCTGCTCATGCTGCGAAACTCAAGGACCATCTCCAGCCTCTCAGCCTGATCTACCTCACAGGGTTGTTGTGAGGATGAAATGTGTTGAGGGAAAGAGAGAAGCTGAGCTCCTTAGTGAATAAAAATGTAATATTTTTTTCCTGTAATCTCAGGATTTGGGATGAATTAGAGCAGTGTTTGCAACCCGCTTGTTAAGGTATTTGTCGAGTTAATAAATTCTGTATGCTGGGGAGCAGGGACAGAAGCCAGTTATTGTAACGGGTGAAGAAGATTAGGTTGAGAGAGGGTGGGTTGCCAAAATCCTCCGACCGAGCTTCTTAGCAGAGCAGAAATTCCTCACATCTTGACTCAACAGTCTGTTCAGTGTAACACATGGGCGATTGCACATTTTTATTATCGCAAAGCTGTGGCATTTTATGCTGGTGCTTCCTGTGAGAAAAATGCAAAGTAGGAATGAGGGATGTCTGTGCCCTCAAGCACACCGTAGGTGTCTGCCAAGAAGCCCTGGCTAATAATGGGGTGTCGTCCTCTTTCAGCCTGAGGGCTGGACTCCATTTTGGAGGAGTTTTCTGGACTGCATTCCAGTGGGGGTGGAGCCAAAGGCCAAAAAGGCGGGACTAAAATGCCCCAAGTACCGGAATATTTTATTTTATTTATTTAAAACTTTTGTATTCTGTCCCATCACTGACGTCTTGGGACGGTTCACAATAGCAGCAGTAAAATAAGATAAACCTAAAAGTAGCACAGCATCCAATAATAAATAAAAAACCATGGATTAAGATAAATTAGCAATTAAAATAGTGGGAAAATAAAAAGGGTTTCACCTGGCACCGAAAGGAAAGAAGCATGGGTGCCACGTGAACCTCTCTGGGGAGCGTGTTCCATATTTGGGGTGCCACCACAGAGAAGGCCCTCCTCCGAGTAGCCACCCTCCTGGTCTCTTTCAAGGAGGGCTCCTGGAGGAGGGCCTGTGCCTCAGACTTCAAGGGGCGGGAGGGCACATGGGGAAGAATTTTAGCTTACGGGTCTTATCATCTCCTATTAGAATGGGGGAATAAACTGCATAACAGCTGGGAAATCTCAAAATTAGACCAGGTTGGGGCAAAGCAGGGTCTGGGGTGGGGGAACCTCTCCCTAACCTGGGCAGCCTGGATGTGACCCCTGGACCTGAGGTTCTGCACCCCTGCCAGCAAAATTGGAACCTCTTATTTTATGGCCTTCAACATGGTCAAGGCCTGTAGAAAAGTTGACGGCACTTGGCAGAAAAGGCTTCCCAAAGCTGCAGCATGATGCTGTGATTATGTGCCCTCGTGGTACGAACCACCACTTAGGTTAGGTGAGGAAGGAATGAACTTTGAGATTTACCTGGTTTAGAGATTGGCTGTGGTTCTTTTGACTTTCCTTGATTTTCTCCAGTTACATGTGTGTGTTGCCTACCCACCCACACCCCCGTCCTTGTATCAGAAAATGCATTCTTCTCTCTCTTTTTGAGTGGACGTTTGAGCAACAGGTTTTGGCTGCACCTCAGTCCATGGTTGGCAGTGCTATCGGGCCAGATGAAGGCAGGGATGCACTAACAACACCTGTCCAGCTCACCTTCAGAGTCTAGGCACTCAGCTGGGCCAGAGAAAGAGACCGTAGCTCCCTTCTGTTGTCCCAAAGTTTATTAAGAACGTAAGAGCCCTGCCAGATCATACCGAGGCCCAGCTTCCTCTTCCCACAGTGGCCCAAGGGACACCCATGGGCAGGACAAGAGTGTAATCACACCCCTTGCCCAAGTGCTCTAGCAAACTTTCTCTGACCCTAGAGGTAGCCTATGGCCATCAGCACTAGTGGCCATTGATCACTGTCTCCGGCATGAATTTGCCCAGTTCCCTTTGAAAGCCATCACAATATCTTGCAGGATGAATTGCACTGTTTAGCCATGCACTGCATGAAGATGTACTTCCTGTGCTGTGTCCCAAACCCCCCACCGATGAATGAATGAACGAACGCAAGAGAGGCATCGGGGTCGCAGGCATCACCAGGCCCAATCTTTGTGGATTGGGGCCTGAACAGACCTGTGTGTGAGGTGGGGGTTCTGTTCCCCACCCTCAGCACATTCACTGAACACACCTTGGAATCTCTGAATAAGAAGTATATTGATGACAACCTCATAATATCCCCCATTGTCTTCTTTTTCTGCTCTTTACATTTGTAGCCCAAGTGGGAAGAAGTTCCGAAGCAAACCCCAGCTGGCAAGATACTTGGGGAACACGGTTGACCTCAGCAGCTTTGACTTCAGGACGGGGAAGATGATGCCCAGTAAATTACAGAAGAACAAACAGAGATTACGGAATGATTCGCTCAATCAAAATAAGGTTGGTTCACAAATGCAGCTTATGACTTTGTCAGTTCTGAAATCTCCACAATTTTCTGAAAGGAAAAAGCCAGCATCCTAGCAGAGGCCTTGCATCTTTGCATTGATCTTGGTCAGTGCTGGAGGTGTATCCATGTGCATTTTTAAGTGCATAATTTTCTTAATCAGGAAATAAGTCTGGAATACAGATTTTGATACACTTCAAAAATTGGGAAGTGTGCCTAACTGAAGGTGATAACTGATGTTAATTAAACACTTTGTGAGGAACAGTGATATGACTGAAAAAAGCGTTTCTTGGTAAGCTTTTGTTGAGACAGGGAATGCTTTTAAATGACCCCATGGTTGCCATTGATAGGCTCATTATCTGGGGAGCAAAAGCGGGTGTTTGGGGGAAGATGGTCTTGCCAGAGAGTGCAGGTTGTACAGTAAAGAACATTGCCTGAGCCCATCCTCAGAAGAGTAAGATTTTAAGGGCCACCTGCATTGTCTAACTTTAGACTTCAGTCACTGGTGTAATGGGCCTGGACTGAAATTTAGAACATACGAAGCTGTCCCTTATGAAGCTCCCAGACTGTGTTTCTAAGAGAAGCCTTCCCCAACTTGCTGGCCGCCAGATGTTTTGAGACAGCCATTGTTCAGGAAATCTGCAGTCCAAAGGCAGCAGGTTGGGGAAGGCTTCTCTGGAGAATGTGGGATCCAGTCTAAGGGGAAAAAAATAATGGTTCAGAAGATCTGGCAGTCTTGGGAGTCAAGAAACCAGCAATTCAGACCACCCAAGCCCTGTGTGGACCATGGGGAGAGGTCTGAAGGTGAGCTGCGGGCTGGGAATCAGGGTCCATGGGATGAAGCAAGTAGTCAGGACTGAAGGTCAAGTTGGAACCAGTGGACCTACCAAGAAACAGGATCAGGAAGCAAGCCAGAAATCTTGGCTGAGGAGCAAGCCGAGTATGCAGAAACATGCTGGAGCTTAGGAGGACTTGAAGTAGAATGGGAAGCTCATTTATACTCTCTCCTGTCCAGGAGGGTCCAGTGACCAGTGCAGAGTCTTAGAGACTGAGGATATGAAGCTGCGCAGACAGGTGCTGTGGCAGGTGCTTCAGCAGTTTGCCACATGGTGTGGTATGGCCAGACCCAGAAGTTTCCAAGAAAGAAAGGACCTTGGCAGTGTCCAACACTGGATGGATTTATAGCCTGCCTTTTCTGCTTCTTGCAAGCCGAACAGTAGTTGGAACACAGGAGGTTGTCTCTTGGTTCCTGTCCCAGTTACCAGCTCAGAGGATGTGTAGAACTTTGTTCCTGCTAAGGGCTGAATTCCATTTTAGAGAAGCGTTTGGTGGCCATGTTCCAATAGTGGGTAGGGCCAAATGCAGTAGAGGGTTGGCCAGGGGACCTGCTTATTGCCCATTGCTAAGCTGTATTTCAGCCTTTTGAAATGGGGGAAAACATCACAAAGGCTGGGAAACTACCCACCAACTGGTAGTCAGGGAAAGAGGCAGGGCCAGAAGAAAGAGGATGGGACCACCCGAGGATCTCAAATGGGCTGGACTGGGATCTTTATCCTGCACCCCTGCTTTGAATTCATCTATTCTTTCTCAGTAAGACCTAGGTGAGCACCAAAACCCCCTCTCTGGAATGCCAAAGGAAATTCAGCCTTCCATCTGGAAGCTCCAGGCCACAAATCCACTCTTAACCGCGGGGCAGATGCTTAAAGCAGACTTTACCATCTGCAGCTCTGAAGCTTCAGAATCTGCAGCAATTTTGCTCTGCCCTGCTCACTTTGGCTCAGTTGCAATTGTTGTCTGTGCGGGCTGGCTGCTGTCTTCGTACTGGAGCTGACGGAAGCGATCTTCTGGCTGTGCGTCTCCTATTCTCTCTGACCCATAGGTTCTCAGATGCCAGGGGTCCCCAAACTTTTTAACCAGGGGCCGGTTGAAAGGTGCCGGTGCCGGGCCTGGGCCGGAAAGGTGGTGCCAGTGGTGCGCGTGGGCCGGCGTGGGGGAGGGGGTGGTGCACGTGGGCGCGCGTGCTGGGGGGGTGGGGCTCGTGGCAAGGGGATGCGAGGGGTGCGTGGGTGGGCGCACATGCATGCGGTGAGGGGAGGCGAGGCGAGGCAGGGTGGGCACGTGCCGTGCGGCGGGCGCACGAGGCAGCGGCTGGCTCGCTTGGAGATCTTTTTCTTCGAGTGAGCAAACCGCTGCCTCCCCGCGTGTGGGGCGAGGTGGGCGGCGGCAGGCGTGCGCATGGGAGCGTGTGTGGGCGCACGCGCGCAGCGGGTCCAAATGGGCATGGCGGGCCACATCCAGCCCCCGGGCCGTAGTTTGAGGGCCATGCATAATCCCCCTCACAGATCGTCATGCAGGTGCTTCCAGACTATGGCCTTGCATCATTCATGGAATTTTACAGAGGATCCAGGCAATGTCTGGAAGGACAATGTCACCAGCCTCTCTCATAACCCCCTCTGTGTTTCTGCACCACTTCAATCTTTCTCTTACTGCAGAAAATTCAGTAGGAGAAAAAGATAGAATAGCTACACAAGAACTTCCTATTAGTAATGCCAGGACCCCTCCATCTGGAAGCATGCTTAATTTAATTCTGGAAGAAGTGAAGGAGGCAGGTTAATTTTGTTCTGCCTTTTGATCTTAAAACTTGCCGAAATTTGCATCCCTTAGTATTTGCCCAAACGTCCTGTCAGTGTACCGAAGACCCAAGTAGTTCTCTCTCTCTCTCTGTTGGTTGCTTTGCTACCTGCTTGCTTCTTGCAGCAGGTTCTCTGGTTAGCTACATCCTCTCGCTGTGGGCTGCCACCGCTTGTTGCCTTCTGCATGTCTTCAGGGAGCTTCTGCTTTTCTTGCAGGCTTCTGTCTGAGCCCCTGCAGCTGGCCAACACAAGGTGGTCCTCCAGTGGGGTGGGTGCTTTTCCTGGCAAACCAGTCACCTGATGCTAGTTAGGAACCACAATTGCAGATGGACACGTGAAGGGTCTGTAAGGCAGGTGTTCTTGAATGGGTGAGCACAGCAAAAATGTTCTATAGAACACCAACCTGAGAATTTCAAGTTCCTAGTCCCTCGCAAGCCAGGAGAGAGAGAAGTGGGGGCCTGAAGGGGATTCCTGGTCATCTTCAGGGAGAGCTTCTGTGACTGTACAGCTATCTCTCTTCCCCTATTTGAACAAGAAATTATGTCCATGTGACCGCTTAGATCATGGCACTTGACAAAGAATGCTCATCTTTGATCAGTAAGGCCATGCAGCTTTAGTCTGCCAAAATGGTTTTAGTTTATTATTGGAATGGCATATAAAAACTTTAAACAAACAAACAAACAAACAAACAAACAAAGGTACATGTGGGAATGCTTGATTGCAATCCTAGAAGGTGTAGGAGTACCCAAGCCCTTTATTCTGTCTTTTCTTCCAGGAGTGGAGTCATAGGTTCCCCAGGCCACCATCTGCTACTGTGGTTTAAAATCTGCTAGATCCAGCCTGCTTTCTCCTTCCTGAGTGATTCCAGCAAGTTAGGAGTCACATGATGAGTGTGATGACATCACAGTGCGGTGTGGCAAATCAGGTTCAGCTGCCTTTGTCACTAAGGGCAAACAGAAGCTGACTGGAGGGAGTTCCTTTTGGACTTGAGACACATGGATCACCTTTGAGCTCATTGGAAATTGGCTTTGTGGGCACTTGCATCTCCTTTTCATAAGATCCCTGCAAATCCGCCTGGAAGAGGGATATTCTTCTGCCCTTAGGAACATGTTCACAAATGTGTGTCCCCCTTCCTTTAGATTAAAGGCACCCCTGCGCCGATATCTAATGGTATCCAAATCTCCCCTTTGTGGAAAGCTCCTACTTTGGAGAGGTTCCTGAATGCTTCACGGATACTTTATGTCTTTCCCAACCACAATCTACGTGGACACCACGCTCCACCTCTGGAGCCTTCCTCCAAGTGCCGACTCCAAGGGAAGCTCAGAGGGCGGCCACAAGGAGGGGCGCTTTTTCCGTGGGGGCCTCCTCCCATCTGTGGCACACCCTCCTCACTAAGGATCCAGATTTGCCTGGCGGCAAATTTGTCATCTTTATAGCTCTAGGTTAAGATGGCCCTTTGTACTAACGCTTTTAAAGATGTATTCGGCTACCCAGGGGCCCATCTCACGTGATCCCCCCTTTTACAGATCAGTTTTTTTGTATATTTGATCCATTTTGAATTTATTTATTGCTGCTTTGTTTTTATGGTATTTGTATTTTATTGTTTAGTTTTCATGTGTTCTTTCTAAATTGCCCAGAAAGCTTATTATTATTATTTACTGGCTAATTACTGGTGTTTTTTTTTTTAACAACGTGCAGTGTAGGATAATTTCTGCATCTCCTGATGTCACTTTGGAGACAAGGACTTCAGTGGAGGTTGAGAATCATGTGTAAACTCGTCCATAAAATTGCCCCAAACTTCTTGTATTGCAGGCATGACTAACTGGGAAGCCAGGGGCCATTTTTTTGCCTCCCCAGGACCTTCAGAGGGGGTGCATTCTATAGGGCACTGTATGGTCCATACCCCTTCCCCTAAAATTTAAGAACCAGCAAATAGGCATTGTGCTGCCCAAATTCAGCAGCTACAGAGAACCTCGTGGCTTAAATTTAGCTTGTTTCATGTTAAAGAAATTAAAGAAATTTGGTTAGTGGGCTGAAGTGGGAGGCCCATGAGGCTGTTTAACTGAATCAACTGCTTATTTGAAAAGAATTCCGTTTTCTGGACAAAAACGAGAAAAAGTGATTAATTCCTTGCTTGTCCCGGCATGCTTACCCATCATGTAACCATTTATCCTGTTTACCTGTTTGGTACGCTAACCATAACAAATCCTTTTTTTCTTTGACCAGGGCAAACCAGACTTAAACACAACGCTGCCAATCAGACAGACAGCATCCATTTTCAAGCAGCCTGTAACCAAAGTTACCAACCACCCCAATAACAAAGTGAAGTCTGATCCCCAGCGAGTGATCGAACAGCCTAGACAGGTAACCGCAACATCTTTCCCTTAATCTAAGCAGCAGAGGCTGGTGAAACCATCAATCTACTCAGTGGAGCCATGGATCTACTGCAGATTTTTAAGAAGGTCTCTGCGGTGCAGAACTTATCTTGATGAGGGGCTTCAGCACCACGGACAGTTCCTTTAACATTTGGACTAAAGCCCCGAGCAGATGAACTGCCCCACGGACACAGCAACCCCTAAGCGTCTCCTCTTTAATAGAGTTGTTGTTCTAGAAGAAGCGCTTTTGGAAATACCTAGCCAACTTTCCTAGAGGAAATGCTATGGAATGTGGCATCCCAGTTGGAAGACACTGGTCTGTTGACTGCCTGTTGTTTGATTGTGGTCCAATATCTATGTGTTTTGTAATGCCAATGGTACCCCACATTTTGTTCAAGAACCTCACAGCGGGATATAAGGCGCCTTCCATGTTATCTTCACGTCAATGCTCTGAGGTTGGTTAAGCTTAGAGGGAACAAACTGGCAGCTTCAGGGCTGAGTGGAGATTTAAACCTGGTCTTCTTGGCCCTACTCAAGATACTCCAACTGCTGTGCACCAGCTGAGGGTCATTTTGTAGCTGAGTTACCATTCAGGCCTGTACCTTTTCACTATAGAAGTTCCCCATTAAGGATGAGTAGGATTGTATTAGAACTCTCTTGTTCCTTTGTTCGTTCTTAATTTATACCCCACCTTTTTAACTCCCAAGGAACTCAAAGCAGTCTACATAATTCTTCTGCTTTCTCTCAGTCTTTTCCCCACAACATCAGCCCTGTGAGGTAGGTCGGACTAAGAGTCGGTGACTGGCCCTAAATCCCCCAGTGAGCAGGGGGTTGGACCTGATGGCCTTCATGGCCCCTTCCAGCTCTCCTATGATTCTATGGCTGAGCGGGGGCTGGAACTCAGTTCTCCTGAGTCGCAGTCTCATGCTCATAACTGCCTCACCACACTGGCTCTCTTCAACTTGGGAGTTGCTGCTTGCATCTGGAGTCCTTCATTGAACAGCGTCTTGAACCCCATGGCCTTATTGGCCCCTCCCAGCTCTGCTGTTCTTCAGTTCTTCTACCTTTTCTCAGTGTGCTTTTCATACTCAGCCTTTCAAAGATCATCAATCCTCATACTTCTGGTTCATTAGACGGGTGCTGATTTTGGTGAGTCACAGGCTATTCCTCAACACGGCACTGCTCCAGCTTTCAGAGGGTGCTCGGGCATGGTGTGCCCCCTTCCTCTGCCCTTCTGCATCCTCACAACCATTGTCATCTGGTGTTCTCCTCCTCCTCCTCCTCCTCATTGCTGCCGCCTGCTTGACAGGTGGAGAACACTGTGGTAAGAGCCAGTGCGGTGTAATGGTTAAGAGTGCAGGACTGGGACTCTGGAAATCTGGGTTCCAGTCCCCACCCAGCCATGGAGCTCACTGAGTAACTTTGGACCATCGCTGCCCCTAAGCCCAGCCTACCTCACTGGACAGTTGTTTTGAGGAGCAGCTTTAGAGGAGGAGGAGGAGAGTTATGTCAGCTGCCTTGAGTTCCTTGGAAGGAACAAAGGTGGATTTTAAATTTAATAAATAAACAGAGAGCATACAGCCATGGTCCTTTGTGGTTTCCCCTTTCCACCCTGCCAAGGCTGGAGTGTGAGGCAGGTGAGCATGCCAGTTGCAAAGGTGAAGGGGAGGCTCAGACCCAGGGGCCTCTTCTGAATGTCTTTGGGTGGCTTTGGGCCTATGGCTTCTGCTCTCAGTCGGTGCCCTGGATGCTGGTCTCTCCTGAATGTCTGCAGGGGGTGGCTTTGGGCCAGCCACCGATTCTCAGCGTAACCCACAGCACAGGGTTCTTGCAAGGAGAAGGGGGAATGTGTGAGGCACTTTGGGTTCCTTGCAAGAAGAACAAAAAGCAGGATATAAATGTATTTATTTACTTATTTCGTTGCCTCCCCAAAGCCAAATGGCTCTCTCATCATCGCGATGACAATAATACGCATTGCACACGCTCTTTCTGTTTGCCAGCAGAAGTTGAAGGCTAATATGTTAGGCAGGGGGACCCAAGGAGATACCTGCAGTAATTTTGTTCTCCTTCGGGCCCAGTCTTTTTCTCCCATATTCCGTAGCACCCTTTCCTTGAATGAAGATGCTGCTTGCAGCTCGTGGACACCAGGTGGCGCTTCACTCGCTGCTCTTGCCAGTGACTGTGAACATGAATAAAATTGGACAGTGGTGTTCTTTGGAAGCTCTTGGCTTTTCTTTCTGTCTGTGTTGTTTTGCTGAAAAGATGAGAGATGAAAGTAGCGCCGCTGCTGCTATTAATATTTTATTCTACAGATTTATGAACCACTGTCCAATTTATTTATGTCTCTAACTGGTTTGCAGAACAATCAAAACATTAAAATACATCATGATATGCATGAAAATACAAGTAAAATCTATAATATAGAAACATTTATATAAAACATGATTTAAAAGATCAAATAAAATTTAGGACCAGTACAGCGCATTATTCTAGAAAAATGATTTTGGCAGAACACTCAGTAAAGAAAAGGGTCTCCACCTGGTGCCCCAAATGTGTGAGTGTTGGTGCCCCTTGGAAACCAAAGGGAACATCATTCCCTAAATTCGGAACCAGGAAGGCCTGTGGGATGGCCATCTGGGTCATGGCACAACCAGGAGGAGCTCTAATGACCTTAACTCTGAATTAAGGATCTCAGGGAGATGGGGCACGGAAGGCCTCTTGCTCTTATCCTTGTAGAGTGACTGCCAGATAGATCAAGCCATCTTGGGACTGTATGGACCAATGGCCTGATTCAATGTACAGTCATACAGATGGCTCGGCACCCCAGAGAATGACAGCAGTTGTCTCCTCTTGACACAAGCTCTCCAACACTCTCCAAAGCTGATCTCTATTCTCTGGACCCTCCTTATCCTTTGTCAGATTTACCAATAGAGTCAACTCTTTTAGCAGTCAGGTGCAACATCAAGCACACATCATCATGAGGAATGGCTGACCTTTTCCTATTGGCCGCAGCCTATTCCTTCTGGCACAAGGATGTCAGTGTGGAGTTTGTAAGTGTTCTAGAATGGTCTGGGCATTATTACTGTGAGCAGAGCCACGAGGGCTCTGGGGATGTGTGTCCCAGCTCTTCAGAAGAGCTTATGAAAGGGGACACTGAACCTGAGAGCCAAGGTGTGGAGTCAGAGGTGCACATGGAAGTACCTCGGCATTCCAGGCTGAATAAGCGTTCTTGTTTTTATATGGATATTTTGAATAGAGATGGGGCCCAGTTCAGACTGTCAGAGCCACCATAAAATGTAGCGTAGCGATTGGCTCATTGTGAACTGAACCTTCCTCAGTGGTGTTTCTAATTACTTAAAAGATTCAGGTCACAGGCCATGACCCAATGCTGCATAAAATTGGCATATGGTATTTTATGATGTATAGATGCTAATGCAGAAATCTTTATTAGCATTTAGATTTCACTGATGGCAAGGCAATGGATTTGCCATCAATTTCTCCCAGTAAAATAAATCAATTTTCACCCGCCTTAAGATTAATGCAGAAATGTCCCTCTTCCTTAAGCCCCCAATCCAGTATTGCAGTGGATGCAAAAAAGAATTCCTACACCTTTCCAAGGTGTTGGATTACATATCTCATCAACCTAGTTTACAAGGCCAATGGCAGTAGGGGAAGAGGATGATGGGAGTTGAAGTCCAGCACACCTAAAGTGTGCTAGATTGGGGAAGGTTGAGGCTAACCTGTGCACTTAGCAGTTGTGTAGATCAGGAAAGTTTAGGAGGCTTAGCTTGCAAGCCCAGCTGGACCTGTCGAATTCCCGCTTGAGTGCAGCTTTAAAGGCAAAGGACTCCTGGTTTTGTCTGCTTCTGCCCGCCAAGTCCAACGATTTTGCTCTCCGTCTCAACTCTGGCTTCAAATCTGTTTAATTCTCTTCCAGTTATTTGCCACTGGAATCACCCCTAAAATAAAGCAAACCCCTCTCAACCATGCTGTGAAACCTCAGCATCACAGTGTTGTATAAGCAACCTAAACATGGGTGAGTGATGCCTTCCTTGGGCAGGAAAGCACTAAATGTCTGAGCCAAGCTGCTGATCGTCTCCCACCCTCTCCCTTCTTTTAAAATCCTGGCATTTTGTATCGCGGGAAGCCCTTGATATTTTAAGAAATGGTCTGACAGAGCAAAGCAGGAATGACATAACTGAGCTGTCCTGCAGGACGTGTAAATAGTGAAACGGTGTGACCCAACCGGTCGCTGTCGTGATTGTCTTAAAATTGATCTTAATTGGACAACCAAGGACTAATGACTTGTGCAGGGAGTACAGAAACTAAGCAATTATGTTAACCTACATCGCTCATCCATCACGTTATCAACCCAAGCACGCTCTGTAGGGATCACCTACCTTATTTGAAATAATTGTACCCTAAATTGATATAAAACCAGCTAAATGAGAGCATTTTATAAGGTCCTTCCAGTAATTATGCAAATGGCAAATGAAGACATCTCTGTCATTTTCGCTTCTATTTAAACTGAACAGAATAGGTTAAAAATTACTGTCATTTTAATAATGAACAATTACTGGAGGTTGCACATTAACAGAAACAAATTTACGGAGTTACACTTGAATGCATTCACTTTCGGGATAAAATAATGTTTCTGAATAATTTGATTAGATGCCATACATCTTCTCTGTTTGCAAAATCTCTTTACTCTTATTTCTCTTATTATATTTTTGTCTTTGCTTTGAGAGCTGACTCCTCCCCTGTACCGCTGTATCTTCTATAATCCTGGTTGGGTATGCTAGGTTGAGAAATAGTGCCGCACTAAGCCACCCTGTATGGCGGGTTGGTTGATTACTCAGCAAACTCCTGGTATGCCTGACAAAGAGCTGGTCTTCCTGTGGGCATCTTCAGTCCTTTCTCTTCTGTCTACCAGAGAAAAACAACAACACAGTTGTGTATTCCCAAAGCATCGTCCTATTGTAGAGAGGAGGGCCATCTCTCGCTCACGGCAGACTGTTCAGAGAGACTCATGGTTGGATTCCGAGGAGGTGGAAGACTGAGGTGGGGAGAAGGTTTTGATGTTTCAGGGTTACCTAGTGAAGGATCTCAGGCAGAGTGAGAACTGGCCTGTTTTAGAAGGGGCAGAAAGGTTTTCAGGAGGGGAAAGGGAGCAGATGTGAGATCCAGTCCTTGACCCGTAAGGAGGCATCAGGAGAAAAACTGCTTGGTTGGAGAGGCTTTGCTGTCCCGGCTGTTGGCCCCTAAGAGCCTCCTGAGGGTGGAGTCGGAAGCTTTCCTGAAAGGGAGGGACCAAGTGGGAGCTTCTCGTTTGGATTCAGCTCTTGACATGGGCAGGTGCCTCCCCCTCAGCAGATCGCCCTGTGTTGTCATCTGTTCAGAGGCAGTGAAAGAACTTCTCCAAAGGATTATCTCGAATTTGATAACCGGAAGGAAAGAGGGAAGGGACCGGCTCATGACCGTGTGGACAGTTCCTCTAGAGTGCCATCTGAGCGCTGCTGGAGGGCAGCCGTGGGCGAGGGAGGCCGAGGCAGCTGAGATCACGCAGAACGGTGCAAGCTTTTTTTTGCCACCTTGGCCAAGTGTAGCAGATCGCAGCAGCTCATAAGAAAATCGCAGTCCTGGCTTTGAACCACATGGGCCAGTAGAGCAAGTGGTGGGTTTTCAAGGAGGCCTGTTTGTGAAAATTATGCTACCCTGTGGAAAATGTACTAGGTGCAGATGGAAGAGCATCACACCACGGCTGGCTTCCCATTGTAGGTGGTTGTGTTGTGTGTCAGTAACTGGTTTCAGCTGGCCCAGAAAACTTTGTGACCGTATGTGCATTTGTGCATGGGTCTCGCCAGTCTACATCCAATAGTCTAATCCCTGCGACCCTTTTCCTTTTCAATGAACTGGATCCAGCTTTAGTTAGTGGATTAGGCCCCACTGAAATCAATGAGACACATTAAACATTCCTTCAATCCCATTGAAACAAACTAGACGAGCTCCACTGACTTTGGATTCAGTCTGATGAGTCTTTACCATTGTTTTTCTGGGTAATCTGGGTAATACAGAAAGGAGGGCAGGTCCGTAGGGACTGTGGAAATGAGGATTTCTGCTTGTCTCTGGGATTGCTTTAGGGAAATGCAAGTTGCAGATCCTGCTGTTGTTAAACATGCTTTTGCATTTAGCATGTACTTTGCTTAAAGAAATGCAGGCAACTTCAGGTGGAGGTGGGCTGATACTTCTGTGCTTTGCAGCAGGTATAGAGGGGAATGCACACTGAACCTTTTCTTTCCCAGTTTTATTTCTGAGGAAAAACATCCTTCCTCTGAAGTTGGAAAATCCTCCCTATTCCCACATTTACAAACATCACCTCTCAAAGAGATTCTTTTCTATTCTGTTCTGTTCCGTTCTGTTCCGTTCGACTGCAGCAAGGGAGGGAGGAAATTTAACGAGGCCTTTATGGACTATGGAGAAGACAGGTATTTCATTTATGGACTCCCACAGGGGCATTTGCCAAAGTCTTTGACAAGCTTGGCTGTCAGTGCCCTGCCTTTAAAAGCTGCCCCTATCTTAAGAATGCAAGTGACAGCAACTTTGGGCCTATTGAAAGTGGCCAAGCACTTGAGCTGATTAAAATTAAAACTTGAGAATATTAATTATGAAAGTGAACTTGATGTAACCAATTATCAGTGTACAAGTATGCATGCAAATGCATATGTGTATGAAAGAGGAACAGGAGGCTGAATGATTTTGCACAAGATCACAGTAGGCGAAATAAGCTGCTCTTCTGACATTTTGTAAGGTTATATAAACTGCTTTGGGTTCCTTGCAGAGGAAAGGGCTGGGTATAAATAAAATAATAAATATAAATAGTTGGAAAAAAAACACACACAAAGAAATAACCGAAACCATTCCTCGTGCTGTTAAGGGGATTCGTGCCAAACAGCTGTGGGTACTGCATTCTTCAAAGCAGGGATACACAACTTTTTCAATGTTGGTTCATGTGGGAGTCAGGACATCTATGTTGAACCACAGGAACGACCTTGGGGGGGCTGTAGGTTGGGACCTCCCCGTCCCCGGAAGCTTCTGCCTGCTGCTGTCTTGACTATTTGGAAGCATTGGGCAACTTGTGGGCCAACATTCTGGGGGGCCTCAGCTCCCATCATCCTCCACCATAGCCATACTGGATGGGGCTGATGGGAGTTGTAGGCCAGGGTCTCGAGTTGCCCAGCCCTGTGGTAGCCGAATATTGTACTGTGAATACAGGCCTTCTTCCTGCAATGCTTCGGCCTCCGAGCTGTTCTGACTTGGTTGTATTAATCAAACTGTTCAATCTTTCAGCTTTTCTGGGAGAAGAGGCTGCAAGGCTTAAGTGCATCCGATGTGAGTGAGCAGATTATAAAATCCATGGAGCTGCCGAAAGGCCTTCAAGGTATTCTTCGTCATGCTGACATTTAATGTGCTCTAAATCAGTGATGATCAAACGGAGTTCCACAGAGATGGTTCATAATGCTTTGCCATCCCTTGACTTCGAGACGATTGTGTGAATGGACTCGAAAGATACACTTTGTTTCATAAAAAATGAAAACCTGTGCTAAATGGGGCCGATTTGTTTGCTACAAGCACAACATCTGAACAGAATAGGACCCATTCGGCTGCTATAAAATAAATGTGAGCAATAGCAAATGGGGTTCATTTTTGTTAATTCCACTCATTGCTTGGAATGGGGAGCTTCCCGTCGCTGGTATGATCCTTTCTGTGGCTCTCCCTTGCTGGTTTCCACATGATTTCTCCAGACATCCCACACTTCCAGGGCATTCTGGGAAAAGGACAGCAGCAGCAGCAGTGTGTGTGTGTGTGTGTGTGTGTGTGTGTGTGTGTGTGCATGCGTGTGCGTGTGTGTTTCTTTCCCCTTCAGAATGCCCTAGAACTGGGCTGTGGAATGTAGTGAATTTTGGGCCTCCTATCCTCACTGTCATTGGCTGGGGCTGGGGCTGATGGGAGTTGGGAATCTAACAGCACCTGAATGGCCAGGGGGTTCCTAGCTTTGCCCTAGAGGAATGAAGCATTGAAAAATGGAAGATGGATGTTGTGAGGCCAGAACCTGTGTCAGTATCATCAGAACTGGCAGCAAATGAGGAAAAAGAGGGAAAAGGGGAAATGTGGCAGGGTGGGTGGTGGAAGTGCTTTTAATGAATATTTAAGGAAACGAGGAGTTGAGAAATGCGTTCTGCTTACATAGCCTTACAAAATAAGGTATGTTTGGAAGTTAGGTATGGGAAACCCCGGCTTCAGGATTGGAGGTCCTTCGCTCTGCTGCTTCCATTACCACATGGTGTATCCGAATGGCATGTCTCGCATCTGTCTCCTAGGCGTTGGCCCCGGGAACAGCGACGAAACTCTCCTCTCCGCCGTCGCCAGCGCGTTGCACACGAGTTCCGCTCCCATCACGGGGCAGCTCTCTGCCGCCGTGGAGAAAAACCCAGCCGTGTGGCTGAACACATCCCAACCTCTCTGCAAAGCCTTCATCGTTACGGATGAAGATATTAGGTGAGCCCGGATGATCCGCCACAGTGCGATGGACGGCGGGGCCTTCTGATGTAACGTTCCTTCTCTGTGACGGGTGTAATTCCCTTGTATTAGCTCCTCTCTCTCCTATCCTGGGTGGATTGAAGAATGCTGCAATGAGGTTCTCCATTTCGGACCCTGAACAAGCTCATTGCACCGTGCTCTTCATGGCAACCTGGCTGGCGAGTTGGTGAATTCTGGGAACGGTGGTCCTTCAAAGGGCGCCTGCAGTTGCAGGAGCCTCTGAATGAACACCAAGTTCTCGAGTACACCGTATGCAGAACGACTTGACAGGAGAGAAAAGGGGAAACAGAAAGGGGGCCCCCACACAATTTTTTTTGGTCTTGCCGTTACCTCTCCTGTTGAGTGGAATGCAGGGAATTTGGCCATGGTGGGTGGGGCGAGAGGAACAGGGGCACTTTCCCAAAGTTCCTCTGAATTTGACACCAAAGGGATTTCCTGCAAATGGCACCTTCAGAAGACGAATTTTCCGCGGGACCGCCACAAAGGAAGGATAGCTAAATCCCCTATCCTTACCTGTTGGGATTCCAGTAGTTTTCATGCCTTCTCCAAGCTGATGTAGCATATTTATGGGAGAGAGAGCAGAAAGAAAACTCTACACTTTTTTTTTTACTGCTGTACTCAAAAATTGTTGCTCTTAAATGCCTTTGCTCTTTAGAAATGTTACTGCAGTGCTTTGTTTTGAAATGTTTTAGAGGCTTCTTCTTGATTCCTCTTCTTGGAGGTAAGGTGGGTTGAATGTTCTTAAAGCAAAGATACATTTAACATTGTGTCTCGCTTGGCCCTGAGCATGAAGAGATAAAAGCCTTTCTTGGGCTATTTTACACTCTGTTCACCATAATGGTCTGTTTTCCACCATAACGTACAAGTAAATGGACAAAGGCAAACTTGCCTGTTTTCTAGCCTGCAAAGTTTGAGAAGCAGAACAGAGAAGGAGCTGACTTCCTGTCTAGTTTCTTTCTGTGTTCTTCTAGCTCTCAGACAGGGTTGTCAGATGTTTCTTGACTCCACTTTACCTGCTAATCTTAAGCTCAGACAAGGATGCCTACAGAAGGCCTGAGAGAGGAATGCCAGATATCGAAGGCTCTGCCCGTCCTGACTGTGGCATAAACTGATCCGAAGCAGGGGAGTGCTGATACTGGGCCATTCACCCTGTTTGAGCTTGATGGATTTCTTTCCCTCTTTTGAGCCGATGCTCAAACGCAACCCTAGCCAAGGTTTTTGCATGGTCCTCCTTCTCTAAAGATAGGCTGCAATTGATCCTTTTTTAAGCTGAAGGACATTTGCGCAAATTATTAATTGCACAACAATTTGCTGTACTTTTTTAAAAAAAATACACAAATTGCAGCCTTTCTTAGAGACAGAATTTGGTGAGCTGGCTCAGCTCTTACCGGAGTGAGTCAGCATCACCTCATGGCTGCACACCAGAATCGGAGCGGCAGGACGTATAATTGTCAGAACCTGTCAAATTTTCTTTCCTTGTCAGATTCCTCACTCTTGGCTCATCTTAAGTGGCTTCAAGTATGCCTTTGCCACTCTTGCAAGTATGTTGATGTATGACTCTGAGGGTAAAGTCTGGGTGCGCCTCGCTTCCTGAAACTGCACCCCTGTGTGCCTTTCAGAAGGATACACGGAAAGAAAGTCAGGCCCTTTGCTGAGGGGTGAACCAAGGCCTGTGCTCTTCTGCTTCAGACCGAGAGCCGGCGTACAGCGGCAGCTGGAGTGTCGGCCCAAGGGCCTGGCAGATCCAGGTTCTGGTCCCCACTCAGCCCATGGAACTGGTTGGGTGACTTTGGGCCAGTGACTCACTCTCAGCTTAGAAAAAGCCCTGCAGAAAGTGGCGAGGGAGACATTTTCTCGCTGTCTCATGGTGCTGGAACCCAAGGAGGTCCTCTCACAAAGCCGATGGGTAGAAGATTGGAGACAAATCAAAGGACTTCCTCGCACAGCACAGAGTTAAACTGTGGAATTCTCTTCCACAAGATGTAGAAGTGGCCACCAATTTGGATGGCTTGGAAAGGGAAGGGGCGAATGCATGGGTGAGAGGCTACCCACAGCTGTGGGCCTTGATGGCTCCTTCCTGTGTCTGGTACCAGAGGCAGGATGCCTGTGTACACCAGTTGCTGGGGAGCATGGGTGTTCAGGCATTCTCTGGGCAGCTGGTGGCCACTGTGAGAACAGAAGGCTTTGGTCTGATGCAGCTTTTCTTATGTTCTGAGGCTCTGGCTTCCTCTGTCCTCCCATCACTGGGACTTTATACCCCAATGCATCTTGCAGAAAAAGCTGCACTCCATTTCGAGCATGTGCATTAAGGGCCAGGCGCACCCTTTGCGCTCTTCTTTGGACCCAGATTTCCTCGCATGCATTTTGAGCTTCTGCTGCATCAGCAAGTAATGCACAGTTGCCAAAGCTTTCTGCATTCCTGCTGACGCGACGAAACAAAGCGGTGCCGCTTCATAAACAAGGGAGTAAATTGAATGGGGCCATGTTGGCATACGCTGCATGAAATACGAGAGGGGGCACGTTCCCCATGGAAGCTCACGTCCACTGAGTGCAGGCTCATTATGCTGCCTTCTGTCTCCCCCACTCCTTTAATGCGCTGTTAAATAGGCGCAGGATTTGTATGACTTTTTTGGGGCCTGGTTCATTCGGTATGCAAGTGCTGTGGGGTCAGCCTCCCAGCAGTCCAATCCAAAATTGCTGTGAGGAGGGCTCCCCTGGGTGGGCTGAATGACATGGTTCTTTCCCATCGCCTTGGAAGACGCCATGACCAACAGGTGTTCCAAATTGTTGCCAATCTGGGGCCCAGGTAAATGGTCCAGGGGAGATTAGACGCTGCAGTCTTCCTATAGCTAAGCACGCATGGACCCTTCTGGGGAGCCCTATTAGGATTTTTTTTGTTTTTGTTTAGTCGCAAAGTCATGCCCGACCCATCGTGACCCCGTGGACAACATTCCTCCAGGTCTTCCTGTCTTCCACCATCCCCCGGAGTCCCCTTAAGCTCACGCCGACTGCTTCAGGGACTCCATCCAGCCACCTCATCCTCTACTGTCCCCTTCTTCTTTTGCCCTCTATTGTTCCCAGCATTAGGCTCTTCTTCAGGGAGTCCTTCCTTCTCATTAGGTGGCCAAAGTATTTGAGTTTCATCTTCAGGATCCGGCCTTCTAAAGAGCAGTCAGGGTTGATCTCCGCTAGGACTGACCGGTTTGATCGCCATGTGAAAGTGTAACCCCAGCCAAATGCCTGGGTGTAGATGGATTCTTGTGCGGCACCAGGGCTTTCCACAGGCTCGCCCCAGCACTTGCCTTTATTTTGCAGCATGTCTGTTTTTTCTGACTTGGGCCGCGGCGCTTTGTGGGTCTGAAGACATGCTCAGACAGGAAGACTGGTGCCTATTTTACCCCATGTTGATATCCAGATTGCAAGAGACTAATGCAGGGAAAGCATTGGAGCGGACTGCTGAAAGAACCGTAGAGAATGATCCAATGCATCTTCACACAGAAGAAAGGCCTACTGTAGAAAGCATTTTAAAGTTTCTGCAACGAGTTGTCTTGGGGCCGAAAGGAGACATGTCCATTTGCAAATAAATAATAAACAAAAACAGGCTCTTCCGGTCTGTAGCCTTTGGTGGCATGCTCTAGATTTCCAGACTCTTCTTTCCAGAGGGTGAAGCAACGGCGGACGAAGGAGGCTTGCCCAACGGGTGAAGAAGTAAACTTGTAAAAGCAGTCTTTCCACTGAAGCTTGCTACTGTCATTTTCAGTGAAGCAACCTTTCTAGATTTCAGAAAGTCTGCCTTTTAAAGACACGCACACACACACACACGCATGCACAGAGAATTTGCGAGATCACAGAGGAAAAATAAGTCCATGGCTTGTTCTAGGATTACGGGGTGACTCATAAATCCCCTGAGCCAGCCACCCCCGATGGGTTTGGACATCACAATAACTTGCGGCCAGCAGGATAGTTACATGGCTTGTGACCAGCATGTGCGGGGAGGGATTTGCTGCAGCTCATTTTCCACAATTGTGCACTCCACCTTAAGGAGTTTCTGCTGGTGTCTTTACGTGCAGACTCCTTGATGCTTTCCATTTTTGTCATACAAAGTAAATCCCTTTCAAGCAGAAGAAATACATCCAATAGGTGGCATTACTCCTCTCATTGTTGTTTAGTTGCAAAGTCATGCTTGACCCATCGCGACCCCATGGACAACATTCCTCCAGGCCTTCCTGTCCTCCACCATCCCCCGGAGTCCACCCAAGCTCACACCAACTGCTTCAGTGACTCCATCCAGCCACCTCATCCTCTGCCTTCCCCTTCTTCTTTTGCCATCTATTGTTCCCAGCATCAGGCTCTTCTCCAGGGAGTCCTTCCTTCTCATTAGGTGGCCAAAGTATCTGAGCTTTATCTTCAGGATCTGGCCTTCTAAAGAGCAGCCGGGGTTGATCTCCTTTGACATTACCTTTGACATAAGATTGACATAAGGTTGACCTCCTTTGACATAAGATTGACATTACCCCTCTTACTACCACTGTTATTACATTTATATGCCATCATTCTTCCTCTTGCAAGGACCCAAGGTGAGTTGCGTGATGCTCCATTCCCTTTTATCCTCACAACAATCTTGTGAGGTAAGAAACAGAGTGAGTGACTGGCCCAAAGTCATCCAGCGAGCTTCATGGCTGTTTGGGGACAAGAACCCTAATAACCTAGGGTGCCACTCCAACACTCGCCCCAGGCCATGTTGCTTGTACACAACAGCAGCAGATCAGAAGCCAGGAAGAGGTTTGCTGGAGGATCTGGCACACAACAGTTCCGCATGAGGCTTTTAGCACCTTTTGGCAAGCTAAGGTGGAGGACAACCTTGGTTAACTAAACAGACTTTAAATGAATTAAGTAAACGTTCTTGCTGAATACAGAGCATCCTGCAACTGTTTGAACTCAAGAGAAGAATGGAACTG